CTAGGTTTTAATAGCAAGCAGATCAGCAGGGCTTTCTCCCCATGGAGTTGCTGGGTGAGTTCAAATTGCTGATCATTTGCTTAGCAGTCAAGTGCTTAACCACTGTGCCACCGGGCATTTTTTTTTGCTCAGCCCAGAGCCTGGTGAATAGTAAAAACTCAGTACTGTGCAGTATTGCAGTTACTGATGAGTGTGATGTGTTACAGTGCATTTTCAGTTCCACGTTACTGTTGCCACTCTAGGGGAAGGCACACGTAAGGAGTGGTCTGTAAGCAGGAACACTAACATGCAAGTCAGTACCCGGGTGGCCCAAACAGTTAAGCACTTGACTACTAGTTGAAAAAGACAGGCCTGGTGCCCTGCTTCCAAAAGGACACGGCCTTGCACATCCTATGGGGTAGGTCTGCACTGCACGTGGGGAGGCCATGAGCTGGAATCAACTGGACAGCAATGAGCAGCAGCTCCGTGGGCTGCCACGTGGACCTGGACAACTGGTCTGTCAGCATCAAGGGTGTGCTGCCGACTAGCTTTGTTCTCTGAAATCCCTCCTGTTTCCATCTTTGCTGTTAGAAGCCATATTGATCAGAACAGAACACCCCACCACTGCTCTTGGACCTGAGCCACACAGGTCACTGGGACATGAACAAGAAACCTTCCTTCCCAACTGTGGTGCAGAGCTTCAGGTGAGGTTTATCTCACCTTTGTGGTTGTCAATCCCCTTCCCAGGCCTAGTGTTCACCCTTCCCACACAACCTTGATTTTGTTGTGGATCCAAGTCACAGCAGAAACAGCAGCAAACATCCATTAAAAATTGGAACTTGGAATGTGCTAAGAAAATTGTTTTTGTTAGGTGCCATTGAGTTGGTTCCAACACATAGCAAACCTACATACAACAGAAGGAAACCCTGCCCAGTCCTATGCCATCCTCACAATCTTTGCTGTGCTTAAGCCCATCGCTGCAGCCAATGTAGCCATCCATCCATCTCATCAAGGGTCTTCCCCTTCACCATTGACCCTCTGCATTACCAAGAATATCCTTCCTCGTCGACTGGTCCTTTCTGACAACATGGCCAAAGTACATGAGATGAATTCTGGCTATTATTGCTTCCAAGGAGCATTCTGGCTGTATCTCTTCCAAAACAGATTTGTTCATTCTTTGGGCACTGCATTTTTTCTTTTT